GGGCGACGAAATTTACTGGTCCGCGTCTCCTGGATTGCAATTTCTATGAAAGCCATTGTTCCGCCGAGCGAGCTAGCGAGCTCGTTTAAGCGTATATTTAACGTCAACCTAAAAAGGCGGCGTTATTTTTTCGTTTTGAGTAACTTTTTAGAAATTTTGTCGTGAAACGTTTCCAATACTGCTCTTCCGAGTCCCAAGTAAAGCTGTCGCAGTTAGATAAACAATAGGCATTTTAAAATGGCTTGGCGGATCGGCAAATTTTGATGGTTTACGAAGTTTTATATGTTGCTGACTATGCTCTCAAGCCTTTAATGCTTTGAAAGTGAGAATTCATCAAAATCACGAGCTTTCCTGTATTTTACTTTCGAAATGCTCTGTATATATCTTAACGGTCAACTTTTTAAAAAGTCTGTATTTTATGATATGCTACAAATTTTGAGATAAATGTTCGTTTCTAAACTAAAAATAATTTGCTTATCATCGTATGTATGAGGCAATTTTTTTACAATAAACTCTCTCCTGCACAAGCTAAGAATTATTTTGTCTAAAATTAGCAAAATAATCGGAATGCCAATCTAAGTAAGAGTATTTGACTACTTGCGCCTAGGTATTTGACAAAACGTCTGATTTGACCCTTTACCGGCGCCCAAACTATTGCAAATTCAAAATTTTAAAGTTAACACGAACTCGTTTTTATACACTATAGCAAAAGTTTAATTATGATTAATTTAATTTAATTATGATAAGATTTAATTATGCTTTTTTCTGGCAGAAGTAGGCTTAGTTTTTCTAATATAATTGATGTAGATCCTGCAGTAAAAAGAAACTTGATAACTATACTATTGCGTTTTAGTTAACCGTTCACATTTGCAACAGTGGCGTGGCGTGCTTTGCGATATATCGATTGCTATGCCATTTAAAGCTATGGTAAAGAATCGATTATTAAGGTGTTCGCTGCGAACACCCTGTTTATCGATCCTTTTCCATAGGTTTAAATGGCATAACAATCGATATATCGCAATTCACGTCACGCCACTGATTTGCAAATTGGCCCCAGTTTAGAGGTTCAAGGGGTTTGAAATGATTTTAAGTTTTTTTCCATGGGTTGAGCCCGGACTTTCGACGGAGGGTCAATTGGACGTATTTCTGCCAAACGGAACTATGTGCATTAGGACATGAGCCCTGAGACCCATAAGAATATATACATAACATGGCTCACGTCATAAAGCACATAGTTCTGTTTGGCAGAAATACGTCCAATTCTGCGTCTCGTTTCGACGAGAGTTAAGAGAGAAACAAGAGGCTTTCATGAGGAAAAAGATAATGCTATATTATTGTTGTAGACCTCTGCTTATATTCACGAAGGAATGTGTTCAATTTGGCGCTTTATCCTCAATGCTAATTATTCAGTACCGATTATTCACGATGAGATGTAGCCTCTTGCCAAAACCAAGGTCAACCGGTAGACTTTGGCAATCACAGGCAATGGCGAGCCATTTTTCGTAGACGGGGACGTCGAAGTAAGCGGGATCCAGCAAGTAAATGTCAAAGTGACAGGCTATCAGTTTGTCATTTTTTGGAAATTATTTTGAGAAACATTAAAAAACAGTTCCGACCAATCTAACCATAAGCATCCTAACTACATTAGCCACTGCCTAATTTAAGATTTTTTTTTTTTTTTTTTTTTTTTTTTTTTTTTTTTTTAACAGGAAAATTCAGCAACACTTTGGTCAATTAAGCAACACTTTGGTAAATTAAGCAACGTTTTGGTAAATATACTTTATATAATTCGTGTAAAATTTACACTAAATTTCAACGGTCAATGTTATGTAAATTTAAAAAAAAAAAAAAAAAAAAAAAAAAAAAAAAAAAAAAAAAACTTCTCTAAATGAAAAGATAGGAGTCTCGCTAACGCATAACGGAATCTAAAGGGTAGCTCCAGCTACAGCTTCAGAAGAAGAAGGAAGATGGAGAGAGAATAATGACAAAAAAGAAGAAGAAAATTAAAGAAAGGAGGATCAAAATTGAAAAAGGAAGAATTATGAGAGGGAGACAGGAGAGGGGGAAAAAGGTAGGAAGAACAGAGGAAATCAGAAAGAGAGGAAGAAGATGAAAAGAAACGAAATTAAGGAGAGAGACTGTAGAGAGATAACGTGGAAAAATGTTTAATGTTGATTGGGCGATGAACTTCCGAGGATTGAATTATTCTGGAGTGTAAGCTGATTGGCCTATGCGCCGAAATTAAGGCGGACAACACCGCGCCGCGTACCACGGAGCATAAAAAGAGAACTTCACCCTCAACACCGATGTTTAGGCAAGTAATCTTACAAGTCTATGCCTCCTTTTTGACTTGCGGGAAAAGTTGGCTGCAGTTACTTTAGTATTAAGTATACTGAATATATTTTGAATAATTACAAAATTAATCCACGTCCATCCCCAAGTCGATTTTTTCGACCGAAAAATCGCGATATTTTGCGATTTTATCGGTGATATAATCGCTAGGATTATCAACATCTGAGCGATTATCCTCGATCTTGTTGCAATAAAATCGCGATTTTATCGCCCGACATAATTCATCGCGATATTTTCGAGATAAAAATCGCAATAAATGGCGATTTAATTTCGATTTTACCGACGCAAATTGATCGCGATTTTATCGAACCAAAAATTGCGATTTGTAGCAATTTAATCGCCATACATCGCAATTTTTAATGCGATAGTATCTCGATATATTGCCACCGATATAATCGCGATAACCAACCGATAAAATCGCTATTTATCGCGATCACTGCTACTTGGGTCTATGGTTTTCTTTTACGATTATTCTATTTCCAAGGGATAGAAAATGTAACAGAAACGCCTTTTTCGTAACGTTATCACAATTTATTTTCATAACATCTTCTCACAAAAAAGGATGAACACTAAAGTTTATACGCACAAGGCTCACATAGAGGTGCTGAGCGTCTACGTCAACGAGTAGTTGCTGCATACATTAACAAAGGTTTACTTAAGAGTTGATGGATGAGAGCTACGTTGAGACAACGGTCGGAAGAAATGGAACAAAAGTTGAAGTCAATTTCATGTGTTTTTTGAGATTTGGAGATAGAAAAGTGTTAAATTTAATTTTAGATAAGTGATCCTTTTTTTATTTGGACCGATGTGAACGAAAGTACATCTTGGAAAATTGAGTGAATAATAGTTTTGAGTCAAACAGTCTTTTATTTTCTCTCTAAAAATTCAAAGCCGTGGAAAAAATATTTATTTCTGAAAAATAGGGGTCCACGATGTATATCTTTAATATTATGCTTCATGACAGATTACATTTACAAGCTTATTTTTCTCATTTTCAAGTAGATTGCGATTCCTTCTTGCAGAACTCGGTCTGTTCCATCCCTCGGATTTTAGACGCTTTTTACTTTCTCGCCTCATGTTGAAATAAATCGTCGCCTACCTGACATGAGGGCGTGACCACACTCGGCAATGACCCGTGTCCTCCATACTATCCAATGCTTTTCCGGGCTCATCTCATTGTGTAGTTATGCCCTTATGTCAGTCAAGCGATGAAATATGTCACTAATTAGCTCACTTCCTCTCCTTTTTGTCTGTGGATTTGGTCGGATTTGCGGGCATAGCACTCATTTTGTGCGGAGAGAGGCGGATAGGATTGGAGTGTTAGTAGGTCATCTGGAGAGGAACTGATGAGGGGGCTTTGAAAAAGCGATGAAAGTGCCCATGCAATCACTGATAGGAGTCCCTTTCCACCTTCTAAGCCTTTTCTTTTTGACGATGCATTTTCGTGGATTTATTGTGCACGAGTAATGAAAAAAAAAAATGTCTCTCTTTTCAGAACGATGCCAAATCATTTCATTGCGCATTGAGTCTAAAACGTGGATGAAGGGTTTAGTGTTTGAACTTGTTAGGAGGCATTTTTGAAAAAATCGAGTCAATGTCGTTTTACGGCATCCCAGTGAGGCTCTTTACACTAAAATTACGAAGTCGAAGGTAAATACTTGAGGATACACCGCTCTACTGCCGTGTTACCGAGGAGAGTGGAAACTTAAGGAATGAAGTTGAAACAAAAATGGTCCGGAAGGTATTGGGGCGGAAAATATTACCGTGCAAACCTTCAATTCCTTGTAGAATTATCCAAAACTATCCCAAAAGCTCTTAGAAATCAATCAAGTGATTAAAAATTACCTAAAACTAAATAAAATGACTTATTTATTCCATATGGGCAGGACAATAGCGTGTACTATTTCGACGGTGAAATTCCCAAATCGAGTACCTCGGTTTGCGATGTTACAGACTTCTTTCATACTTCAATTTTTAAATAAAGCACTACACTCAACTGTGACTTTTAAAAAAGTCCGTGCTTTTTCTTCTCTGTGCGTAGCAAATTTTTTAAAAACTTTAAAGAATGATGTTGAATTTTTCTCCTTTAAAAATATAAAATAATACCTGAGATTTTAAATGCCGCAAACGAGATACGTCATTTAGGAATTTCACCGTCGATTTTCTGCATGTAGCGTGATTGTATTTTTGACTAGTAAAATACGGACTGAAAAGTTGGCAAAAACAGATGCCAGTTTGCACGTGATTGCCGAGGTACCGCTCTTTCACAGGATTGTGCTAACTCAGAGCTGCCTTAAAAGCCTTGTTTTTATTTTTATACAGAACCTATAATTTCACTATTTTAGTAAAATGATTCTGCAGTTTGCAATTACATTTGACAAATTTTGGAGCAGGTAAACTCGATTTTGAAATTTTGATCGTTTATTACACTGCCGTACCAAGAAAGGACGCCGTATGAAGCTTCGAGCGTTGCTGAATTTCCTGGTGAACTTATGTACATTTTTCCTCCAATTTTCCAGATAATTTTGCTCGCAATTCCACCGAAAATTCCTGAAAATTTCAAGGGGAAATATACTTAACTTTCCTTAAAAATGAACATTTCATCGAAAGAAAAGCAACTCTCGAATGTTCATACGGCGTTCTTCCTTAGCGCGGCGTTACTCTCTTCGGCAACACGGCAGTACAATGCACTGATGAGTCATAACAAATACCGATCCGTAAAAAAAGTACAAAATATTTTATCTTTCCCCCTCCAATCTCTTAAAATTTGCACTTTATAACGGGTGCCCCTCAAATCTCGTGATCGCCTTTCGCGTTAACGAAGACCTACACTGCCGTCGACGAAGTGAGCGATCGAACATTTTCCAAATTCCTGAAGGGAGGATCACTGTGCGTTTTATGACGCGTATAAAAATATGATTTAGGCACTTGATCGACTTGCAAGGAGCATTTGTTCATGTCGCTCCTTTGCGGTTGACAGTGATGGCAAGGAATGTCGGATTGTCTCGTTTGCGCATGCACGGATCTCATCGATCGATCCATCTCGTTCAACGATCGTGGCGACTCCGTGTTCGTTAAGTGTCGTCTCACGGATGTGTAGTTGTGTCGATGCCTGAAATTTTGCCTGTACCTGTCGTATGGCTCAGAATAGTCTTCGGCCGTGTCTGAAACAATGAAGAGACATCATGTGCAAAGTGACTCCTGAATCTACTCCTTCGAAACACCGAAATCCCATTTGTCACAGGCAGTCAGCAATCGCTACAATTTGCAAGCGGCATTTGTGTCAGCTCGGTATATTGGAATTGATACAGTCAAAGGTTTCATTGACGAAGAACTTCAAAAGCGCGAACTCGGCCTGGAGCGCCTTCCGATCCTGTGATACTCTCTGCGTTGCCTGGCAGTTAGTTTAGTTGCCGAACCCAACCGAATCCAACTTTGGCCTCTGATTTCACTACAGGCATAGTCGCGCGTATGCCGACTAGTACCGCATGCATTCAAGAGAAAAAAAGTCTGTTTGAATTCCAAGTATGATAATTTCCACTTCCTACTTTTTTTCTTCACTAATAAATTTCTACATTTTCTTATTCAACGCAAACAGAGCGGCATTTGCCGGGGATTGCTAACTGCCTGCGATGTATTCATTTTTATAATGTAGCGCGGTAGTCTCAGCAGGCAGGGATTTTGTATTTGACGGTCCTGACTCCTCCAGCGCGCTAACTGGTTTCGGGCAGTAGCCGCTGGGAGGCGCAGGACCAGTCAAATTCAGTTCCGGCCCAAGCAAGCTCGTTGATCTCGTGTTCGCGATGTAAGTACCTTTTTTGAAAGCCAAGTCCTTCGGGACTTGGTAGTATTAGTATGTTTTTCTCTTTCATTGTGTTGTGCGAGTATCCTCCGACCCTCTCATCAAACGTAACTTTCGTCCTCGTCTTATTTTTCCCTCTTTCCTTTTTTGATTGGCGTGTCGGGCAGCGTTTCAATAGCAGGACCAGAATTAGCTTAACTATACATTCAAGGGGCTAATTTGAGGACAAGGCTCATAAGTGCAGTTTTTGAAAAATTCAGATATTAATGATTTCAACTAAAACTGGTCTTGAAGTATACTCTGTGAAATATTCACGACTAAAATCCAATTTTTAAGCATCAAGATGTGAAATTGAGCTCTCTCTCCGCATATGGCTCCATGCTTCATGCAATTTTGAAAGCAATAATAGCAGAGCAGGCACGGACTAGAGTGCACAAGAAAATCTGTAACAATCAACCTTATTCTTCGCGACTAGCTACGTGTGCTGGCGGTCGGTATGAGAAAAAGTCAATGCACTGGCTTCAGCTGCATCAGGGGGGATTTCCTAGCATAACATGACAGAGAGTATTTTCAGGTAGATGTCAGAGAGATTTGTATGGACAAATTATAGTAATTTTTGGCACATTTCATCGTCTCCTGGACGAAAAAACGTAACTGCATTCCAATGTTGCCAAATTTCTCCTCACAAATTGCATATTAACTGGGAGAATCTTGGGCACTCCGAACTGAAAATTTCACTGATTTTTCCTCTGGTTGAATGCAAAAATCAGAAAATTTTTGAATCGAAAGTGCACAGGTACCTCTTACTAAAGGAATTAATTGTTTGAGTCAATTTGGCATCCTTGGAATGAAGTTACGTTCCTTCGTCCGGGAGACGGCGATTTACATTCATGTATCACCAATACACAATGAGTAATACAATTACTTAAAATTATCTCGGTCCATATTGTTTGGGCCTGAATTTCCTCAAGCAATTAGTCTAATATCAACTTATTCGATTGTTTTTCGTCCCAATCCTTTAGGCCACACACGAGTGCAACGATGTCAAACTTTGAGTTGACTTACCGGACCTTGATCTGGAGACTGAATGATTGTAGTGAAATTTCATATTGGTAGGTGTGTCCGTCCCGTCCTCGTCATTTATTGATCGTCGAATACAGCGCCATCCAAATATGATATTGTTGAAATATTGTCGAAATCTGGAAAAGCGTCAAATTGAAAATATCGCAGGTCATGGAACGCACATAAGCGTCATTTACTGTGGGTAAGAGACGGAACTCACTGAAAAATATAGCTCGGTGTTTTTACTAAGAAAAGGGTAAAATTACCAAGAATTCAGGGTTCTATTTGATCCCAGTTTTTTCTTGGTAAAATTACCATTTATGGAATTGGTAATTTTACCGGGAAATCTCGGTAAAATTATTGAACTTTCTCGGTAATTTTACTGGACCTTGGTAAAAACGCCAATATTTTTTATTGACTGTGGTAGAATTACCGAGATAATATGGCAAAGTTACCGGGAATTGATTACCAATAAAAGTGGTATTCTTACCTGAAAAAAACAGTAAAAATACCGGTTTTTAGGTAAGCTTACCAGTCTGTCTTGGTAAAATTACCAATAATTGGTAAAATTACCAATAATTGGTAAAATTACCAATAATTGGTAAAAAAAAGTGAGATGGTAAAGGTACCAACGGACCTTGGTAAAAACGCCGAGAATTTTCTTTCAGTGCTAGATGGTGGATATTTGGAGAATCATGCTCAATTTCATTGCTCAGTCCGCGGACTGGGCAGCCAATTGACGGATTAGCCGATTTCCCGGCCATTTCGCGGAATGTCTGATGCGACCTGTTCACCCGCGAAATGGGCAAAAAACTGTCCAATCCGCGAAATGACCGATTCCCTAGACGACAGTTAACGCAGATGAACATACGAGAGGAATGGATAGATTACGGTGCGGGGGTAGGGGAAGCAATAGAGACGAACAGGGAAATTATTACTTCTAAGGTCCTATTATATTAGAGGAGACCACACATACTTAATAAATAAAAACTTAAACTGAGTGCATATCATCGTGAAATTTGGAATTTTTTAGAAGAAAAAATAAATAAAAATAAAATACTACCCTAGTAAAGCAGATTGCCATAAATTATAATTATTACATGGTGAAGTTCTTGCTATACTACTGCATGGAAGTGCTGTGTATGTTGCCTATTTCTGCCTACTGAAGAAGCACTCTTTGTTAAAATCTATTGCAATACAATTGAGACAGGTTACAAGTTTTCAATGCGTTGTAAATTGCCTATCTTTTGAGACGTGGAATTAATTTTTTCGATAGTTATAAATTGGTATTTTCTAACAAAATAATGTAAGAATATTGCAATTGTATGATTAAAAGTTGCAATTTTATTGCCCTGGTTGCAATTTTGATTGAAGCAAGAACGGAGATGGAAAAAAAAATATTGAGATTTGACTAAAACAGGCTGAAGATGGAACATGTGATTGGTTCGTAAACAATCATATGTCCTTACAAAAAAAAAAAAAAAAAAAAAAAAAAAAAAAAAAAAAAAAAAAAATGTAAGTATTCTAAAATAGACGGAAAAACTTTTGTTATTTACAAAGACGAATTGCCTGTGCATTAAAATGATCGAGTAAATATGAAAGTGGAATGCTTTACCTGGCGTTCATCCAGTAGTAAATGATCGGGTTCACCATTGCATTGGACATGGCCAAAAAGTAGAATCCCAGGTACAGATGTTGAATATACCAGCTATACAAAATTTTTTGCTTATGGTGATGAATATAGATGAAGTACGAGTGGTAAGGAAACCAACAGACTGCGAATATAATTACAACTACTATAAACATTTTTACAACCTGTAAAAGATGCAAAGTCCTAAAGTTCACTCACCGTGGTTATTGGACACATCACATGAAAAACCAAACGAAGTACTTTTAAATTCAAAGGAGGCAGTGTGAAGAGGAAGTATCCATGAGCATATCAAAAACAATCTTTTTATTCTTTAAGTTGGATCGTATTGCAAGAAACTGATCCGAAAGCCGTATTTTAGAGTATTTAATATCGACGGCTATAAAGTATAAAAATACATATCGACGGTGAAACTACCAAACCACGTATCTCGTTTGCGGTGTTTAAAAATCTACGCTCACATTTTATTTTTTTGAAGTAGACCAAATCAATATCATTCCTTGAAATTTTCACGGAATTTTCTCCGCACAAAGAGGAAAAATCACAGAAATTTTCAAGGCTGGATGTAAAGTAGTTTTTCATTTAAAAAATAAAGTATGACAGGAAGTCTGCGACGCGACGTCGCAAACCGAGATACGTGGTTTGGTAGTTTCACCGTCGATATGCCGATTGCGGCGTTACAAGTATCCGCTTTTGTGTGAAGGAACGCGTTAAAAGAATACCAACCAATAGTATTTCATAAAAATTTTTGTATGCTTTTCACTCATTCAAATATATTTGTAAAAAATCTCAAATAATTTAGATGCAATTTTATTTTTATTTGTATGAATCTGGCACAATTGAATATTATTTAACATCAATGCTTGATGCGTGCAAGATATCACAAACTAGACTAGCATGAGGAGGAGTAGAGGTTAAGATCGGAGCTCATGGACCGGGTGAATGAAGAGAGACGTTAGCGAAAATTCGTATGAGCAGACAACCATTAGAGAAAAGATTATCTGGACGACCGCCCAAGAGATAAGCAAGAAGCTGGCTCTCTCCTCCTGGACATACTTAAACGTTCATATTCCTGTTTTTGTTTTCATTGGCTTCCCAAATCTTTTATTTATTAATGATTCGGTGCTCGAGAGCTCGGCAAACAGGGCCATGCCCAAGTCGTTGGTAGAAGAAGAAGAGGGAAAGAAACACTGCAATGAAGATACACATTTTTCGACTCTAGACTTTAGCTTTATATATTTGATTTGATTATTTGTTGAATATTAAGGCGCATATGTGTGGTTTTCACCGACGGTTTCGGAGCGGTAGGTTTTATAGAGCAGTTAAGGAGGCAGAGTCACATATAAATCCACAAAAAGGGCTATGTAGACCAAAGGCTATGTAGGGCTATGGATCCAAAGCTATATGTAGACCTCCTCTCTAGAATGTATTGTTTTTTTTGGCGTCTTGATTACAATAAGATATGAAAGACGATAACATTATAATATATAATTATAACGTAAGAAGCACGATTAAAACATGAGAACGTAAGTCTCAATTGTCAGAGGAAAATCTTCCTTTCAAAGCGAAATTCGCTGGTGATTTAGATGGAACGGTGCAGTAGGGAAAACAGCTTGAGCGCCTTCATTTATTTGTCTATGCAACACAGGCATCCTATGTGCACGAATTGTTGCCTGCGTTCTTTATCACCAACTCTGAGTCACCAACATCGCGCCACAGCCACTAATTATTGATCACACCCTGAATACTATATGTAATTAACCACTTCTTAATTGTGGTGTCTCCGAATTTCCGCTCTTTCTTTAAGTCTCCGAAGAAAACTTGTTTACATTCTTGCATGAAATTTTCAGAGGTTCTTATCAGATCTTTAAAGACGCACACTTTTACGGATTCAACGCGTTGATTAAAATAAAACATGGTAAGTATAAAAAGTTTTCGACATCACAAACAAAGTTACGTTTCCTCTTTTATACCAACGACTAGATGCCTGTGGCCGCTACGCGGCCGCCAACCAATGAGAAAAGCTACACGTAAAAAATAGTAGAACAACCACGTTCAACTTATTTAAGAGATAAATGAATTCCAAAGCCGACGGGTGCGTGCGAAAGGAAGCATATTCGTCTCCGATTGCAATGTTGTGTACCAATTGTTATGTTTTATTTTTGTACACCCTTTTTAAAAAACTACACACAGTTTTTGTAGAAGTCTCCGAGAAATTCCCGAAATTATTTGAAATAAAATCACAAACAATTTCGACGCGATATTTCCGTTCCTTCCGTTTTCTTTTTATTAAACCAAAATTAATTTTACGCAAATCAGGTTTCAGAATCACTGCATCGGTCGGTCATCGTCCGAGTTGCTGAATCGTTGCAATTAAGATACTTATTTACCCTTTAATAGTAGCAAAAACCGGGCAGAGACCGTCAAAAGAAATGACGAGCGGTCCTAGTTTTGCGGCGATTATAGCATTGCGCAAGCGAGAGAAGGGAGCTCAGTCGAGTGTGTAGTCATCTTCACAATGTGACGCGCCTTCAATCCAGTTAGCGGCAATATGCCTATACCCGTGGTAGAGTAGTTATCGCAAAGAACTCTCGCATTGCGTTTGGTGCAATGCGAGAAGTATTAATGCAGTCTTGTAGGCGCTAATATGCGTCTGACGCCGACCGCACTGTTTGGCGCAATGCGTAAAGTATTCCTATTGTCTTGCAGGCGCTGATATGACTTTGACACTGACCGCACCGTCGGCGCGAAAATTCGAACTCGCGTTAGGATAATTGCGGCATCGAAAAATGGGGCTTTAAAGGCCCTTGCTGTGTTTCGAGCGACGCCATAGCGGGCCGAGCTCGCCGGCCGACCCCTATATACTTTTCCCGCCATCGGGGGCCGGAACGGTCAAGCCGGTTTTGATAAAATAACAACCGATGAACTTGCCTCAAGCGAAAAAAATAAGAATGGGGAAAAATGGAGAGAAATAGGAGGGAGGGGGGGAGAAAAAACACAGGAATTGATGTGATACCAAAAACATAAAGTCAGGTTTCGATTGAAATGATTACCTTTTTCTTAGATTGAATAGAGTCTTGCTGTCTTTGCGTTAATTCTCCGATTGCTTTACTTCCCCAAAGTGCTTTCCCCATCGCAGAATAGCATAATATCATCGCTGACATAGGAATTATATACGTTAGGATAAAAATTATTACATTGTATCTGCAAATATAACACACTAATTAATTGTTGTTGTCGTTGTTGTTTAGGGAACTGTTTGAAGGCCACTATTTTCTTAAATGCCAGTAATGCTAAAATGAATTAGAAGATCCCTTTAGTTGGCGAGGACGGCAAAATCTAATTTATCGCGTTTGGAGTTTTTTCCCCTTTGTACTTTACGACCTCTTTCGGACGATTTTCTCGCCGAGGAGAGCCTGGAAAAATGTATGTCAGAACTGAGCTTTATAGAGAGGCAGAATTATCGCATTTGTTCATATTATCAGTGATTTATATTAGAGAATTTTATCCTGCACTTAGGATCCCTTTAATTTAGGAGGAATGGGGCTTTTTTCCATCAACCATGAGTAACGTAACACGTTTGCAACGTAGTTTTAAAAGTTCAAAAATCGCAAAAGTTAAATTTCTCCACGGTTAAGGGAGTATCATCAATTTGTGATTTTGAGCATTGCATACCTAATGTCAAAATTACTTTCGTGCAGAGGAAGACAAGAGAAAAACAAGTTAAAGTTGTTGAATACTTACAAATAGTCGTACGTTGAATCCATCGGAAGGCCGTCAGGCCAATTTAGGATGCAATGGATGATCGTTTCATTTCTCCAACTGCAAAACAGAACGATTAATTCTATGGATATCATCTTATGAAATCTGAAGATCTCTATACTAGCCTCGCATGAAATACTATTCCTACTTTTTGGTCTGACTCTACACTTAAAACTCTTTATCAAACTGGTTTCATAGTAACCAAAACATTCCATAAATTCATCATCAAATATTTTGAGTATGACAAATTGGTTTTATAATAATTAAATACGTTATTGAAAACCTGCAACACTCCTCTCGCATTTGTTGTTTAGTACGTGGCATCAGTTCCATGTTTTATAGGGATTGAAAAAATAATACTTGTAATCGCAATACTTTTATTTTACAAATATGCGATTCCAGAAACGGTCGGAAATTTTTCTAGGTATTGTTGACAAAAGGAGAAAAAAATGTCATATTTACATGAGTATATCTATATTAACTGCCGTAGGTGCATGTAATCTTCACATTGTAACAATGATTTAAAAGAAAAATGCTTCATTGTTTAAAAAGCTGCCGTCCAAATTTCCATCACCAAGTAAAACAAGAACCAATTGGTTCAGTGACAACGAAAACACACCAACTCGAAAAAATGAAAATAATTAAGACACACACAAAACTGCATATAAGGTGAAGAATTTAGTCTAAGAAAAAGATTTTTGGTGCCTAAAAGCAAATACATAAGGAAACCTTAAATGTCCAAGTTGGAACAGGTATGGTAACTTCAATGTCCTTTTTTATAATTGTCTGTCCTTAGTGAAAAGTGAGCATTTTTGAGTTACCGAGTTGGTGTGTTTTCGTTCTCATTGATTTTAATACCATACAAAATAGAGAAATTTTTCGTTCCTCTAAAGTAATGAATGTTTCCTCTCAATTTTGTGGACGAAAATGCTTTCGTGGTCAAATAACAAAAAAGTTCTATCGGGCTTGTATCCTTCACAGTTGTAAAAGAGCGACTCGGAAAAATTCTCCAACGATTGACATCTGCACTTCATTCCGAAGAAGAATTGTGATAAGCTATTGACTTTTTTTATTATTTTTTTTATTTTATTCTTACCTGTAAACTTTAGTCGTTGAGTAAATGAAGCTTGGTAAGCCGAGCAAGAGACTAGCACTCCAAATTATTCCCAGGACTATGCGGGCGCAACGTCGGGTCGTCCGTGGCTTTAAGGGACGAACTATCGCGATATAACTGCATTAATAAAAAAAATAAATAAAAAACGAACATTAGTCACTCGAGCGAAGAACAAGAACATTGCGGAAATGCTTTTACAGTGAATCGCAAAAGTAGAGGTGTCAGAGAAACGTGTGCAAGCGTTTAAGGAATGTGAATTTATGGGGCTCTTATACTCCTGCCCAGTAAGGGTAGGCACACGTTTGCGGAAAATATTTTGCGAACATGACTTTCATGCATGTAATAAATAAAAGCCAGCCCTCAAAGGCTTCTACTCTTTCAGTTCTGTGAACGCAGAGGTTTTTATAGCGACTTCAAACGCTCTTGCCAAACTAATAAGCTCTATTTTCTCAATTCTAGGCCCTAAATCCGGTTTCATACTGGTCCTTTGTGCTCGGGACACTTAGCCATCATTTTTTTTTTGAATATCTCATTAAATTGTCGCATTATTCTCTTTTATTGCCATGAAATAAGCTTCTTTGTCCGACGAAAATTGTCTGGAATAAATTGATCGCTGTTCAACTTGTATTGAGAGCGCAGGTAAGCGGCGATTGGGGAATAGGTTATCGGAAAACATTGGGGTGAAAATTATATGATATCATTTTGTGGTCGTTGCATGGACAGGTACAAGAACTCATAAAACTTCCTCCCCTCCGCCCCCACTCTTATAAGTACCATGTAATACAAGGAAAGTTCGAAGCCTGGAAATTACAATTGTTTTCTTATTTTCCTTTAAAGTGACAACTGCCCGGTAATGTAAATACTGTCAGTTGAGGTTTGAAAAGAAAAAGGTCAAACTTCCTTAAAAGGGACATCATTATTAGACAAAATACCGGGACCGGCCCCCAAGCATTCCTCATACCTATATTTGACTTTGAACCATCACGGGAAGGGAAAAATACTACTCGTAATTACTTAGGGGCGGTAAAAAGTCTTTGGGCATTTTTCTATAGATGAGCGTCGATTGACTTTGAATGTCAAATAAATGCTACCTGTGGAAATGATGTATGTAACATTGAAAATTTCAAAATCGATCTTCAATGTATCTATATATTTATTTAATCGGAGACTCAGGAATTTGTTTATTTTCCTTCTTAGGTACACATTATTAAGATTTTTTATTACTTTTTTATTATTTTTTAAATTTTATTTCGTGGCTTCGCAGGAAACTAATTATTTATTTGTTAAAAATGACGTCGAGGGATGCTTACCGATCGACGGAAATTCCAGTTAAAGTGAAAACGCTAGCTGCAACGACCACAATACCGATGTAGTTATTGACTTTACAGTAGCTCTCTCCAAATTGCCAATTACTGAAACAATTGATTCTCATGTAGGCATCTGGGATCGAGCGAGATTTGTACGAATGCATTATATGTCCTGGAAAATGGCGTCACTTTCTAAGTTAATGAGGGATGATATGCCCAGGCTTTAAAATTACTCAAGCGCTGTCTGACGTGCGTTTTTTCTTCCTTTTTACGATGCAATTTGACAAAATAAAATTATATATAAAGTGCATGATATCTGAACACAATGAACTCACAAGTAAAAGTATATATTATCCATATAAATATGAGGACTGATGCACTTATTCCCTGGTAAAAATTGGCAGTAGACTCTGTGTTCCAAAATACCATAGACCTACGGCCGGCTGTAAGATTGCCAATAGCTTCTATAGCCGGCTGGACAATTTCTTATAGCTTTTTATAGCCGATGGCGACTAAGCAACAGCTAGGCGACAAAGTGTATGCTAAACGTTACTAATTACGGATGCTAGGACTTGGTGAGTTTTTGGACTACTGCTCTCTTTTTGGGCCGTAGTATCTTGACTTATTTTGCGAGGAAAGCTCCGTATGTTTTGATGGATGCCTGTCATTCCTAATATATATTAGAGCACCTTCAGTTTCGTATGATACCGTGCAATACCTGTGGTGTGAAATAGTTGCTTCAAGCGCCGCGGTACGCTGCGGCAGGGCAGCCAGCGCGAAACGCGCATTGGCGCCTACAAACCTAACTGGGATACTTCACGCGTTGCGCAATGCGTGAAGTATCCCTGTTAGGTTTGTAGGCGCAAGTGCGTCGCCGCCGCTCCGCTTTGTGTTAGGCTCTAATATATAATCTGGCGGAGCCAGCGTTATTCAACTCATGATTTTGAAATGTTTGCTCATCCTGTATGGATTATTCTCATTTTAATTGATGAAAACAAATATGTATTAAAGGAAAATATAATGTGTGTTTTGTAAATATTAAGGTGGTTCCGTATCAAACTTAATGATTTCCAAAGCACACGAATTTCTACACAATTTCTTATAGCCTTTTATAATCGATGTCGGAAAAGCAACAGCCAGGCGCTAAAGTGTAACGCCCGGCGATAGGAACTTTAGCCCGGCTGCATAATTTTTTATCGCTTCGTATAGCCCGGCCGTATGATTTTTTCCACTTTTTGGAGCCAGCTATATGATTTTCTATCGCCCACTTCAGTCGGCTATAAGAATTCCTATTGTATTTTGAAACGCAGCTCTTATCGCCAATTTTTACCAGGGTTGGTCTCTTCAAAGGAAGGCAAGGATACCATCTCTACAATGTCTCAAATGTAAGTGAACTGTACTTTTTGACAGCAGCTGATTCATTATAACGGACGCCGTATGGTGAACGTATGTATACCCACTAAAAGGGCATCGCGAATGAATTGGCGGGAAGAGAAAGAAGAAAACACTACGAAAAACGAATCAAGCCATTCGCGTAATTTCAAGTAAGATATGTCGTAAAGCGCACATAGCAAAGAAGTTGAATATTGAGCTCATTTTTTGCTCCAATATTTGAGCTTAAGGAATCGTTTGGTTCTCAAAATGTGATAAAAACGCCGTACAAGCCATTAATTTCCGTAGCTAAATAGGAGTTTTTATAGATGAGCCAAAAATATTGGCTCTTCATTGCAAAATGCCGTTCATTCGTACAGTGAAAGCTCATTCCATTCTTCAACCTCAGAAGTATAAGTCTCGAAAACACAAGAATGTCATTAAACTCCTTCATCCCACGCAATACCCTTCAAGGATTTAACGCAACGATTTATGATAGAGAGGCACCAGTCATGGTATTACTCCATAATTAGAAAGGGATTTAGCAATCTGAAGGTTAATTGGACTTCATTTTGAAGGTAGAAACTACAATTTTTGGCTCAGTTTAGAAACAGCGTATGTTTCATCAGTTTTCCCATGTACAAAAGTGTTTCTGTGGATGAGCCACATTGTAGTTCTTCGTTGCAAAATGTAGTCCAATTTGACGGAACCGGAATTAGCCTAACCGCACGTCAGATATTGCTTAATTTTCTCTCGTATTTGACTCTTAAACAGAAAATTCAGCAACGCTAAAACTTAAATTTGTGTATGTATATTTCTCATAATCTAGGGTACCCATATGGGAAGTTCAAGGCGTTATGTACTTTATTTCTCTGTTGAAAAAGTAAAATATGGAAGAAAATAAGGCAACGCTAAATGCAGTTATAGGTTCCTTCCGGTTAGTTCGTCTAATTTGTCCGTAACGAGATTAAATAGGTTGGCTTTTCTTGGACTGCATTCAGAGAGTTTTCTCCGTATATTTTCGTTCCCTCCATTGATAAACATTACGTAGAAACAACGTGTTTATTTACTAATGAGCGGATATAAGTGGACTTATCCAGACATCGACTTATTATGATAAGAGTCAATCTAAAAGAGGTTCTTCACGAGATTACAGTAGTTATTTATAATATTAACACCTAAATATTGCGTCAATACCGTAACTTTTTTTAAATTAATTTTTTTTTTTTTTTTTTTTTACAGTGTCTGAAAAGGATATAAATGAGCCAGGAAGGAGTGTAACATCTTGCAAGAAAAGGGTTTCTCATGAACTCTCTGAGTTCCAAAATCGAATGAATATAGCAATTTTGAGTCCGATCCTTAAATTACATTATGTAATTATCCTACAAATCATCCTAGTACCCAATGTTGAAAACAGTTTGATAAAGTTGGAGATAAAACTCTACTGAATACTAATCTTCTTTTTGTATCTACCTAGTTAAATTAAGCCGAAGTGGGAAGTATTCGATAGCTCTCAATACACATTGTGAAGGGACACAGAGATGCAAACTATCACGAGCAAAAATTTACCTCTCTCAGATGATTTATATTCGACTTTAGCAGGAAAAGCCATTAACTAATTGATTCTGAAGTCTATGTCAAAAATTGCATTTTTAGATAAATAAGTTGGGACAGGAATTGGCGTCGTTTTCATCACAGAACCCATCAGTAACTTTTTATCCGCGAGTTTGTTGAAAGAACCGCTGTGTCACCCGAAATATTTTGACTGTATTATTTAGCAGCAAAATCGAAAAATTGATTTCGATGAAGATAGCTGCCGTGTCACGTAAATTTTACAAAATGTAGGAAATGTGATTCATTCAGACGGATATAAAAAATTAAGAATGATGTAAATTATTGAACCAGACGGGACTTCAGCTTTTACAGCATTTTCAAAAAGCAGCTCGATATAATTGGATTATTAAGACTTCGACTGTTGAACATTTTTCAGGAAATAATTTTTTCCTCTGCACAGTCTTGCTAGGCGAGGAAGACTTGCAATAATGAAAGAGGAAAATACGTAGAATATACTGTAAAAAGAAGAGGTAAGATAAAGGAGAATATAAAAGAAAGAGAAAATTCAAATTTCTATTTCAGATCTGAAGTTTTTGTTCAATTCGCCGGTGGCAGATCTCGCCTGAGCTTTTTAGGGGAAAGACCTGGCTAAGAGGTTAAAAGCCGCCAAGAGCTAGCTGAGGTCTCACCCAATTATGCTCGTTTGAAAATTATTCCCGTTTCCTGGCGCGTGCAAATAACTGCAGTTACTGCAGTCTCTTTTCTACGGACGTCATTGAAATTTGAATCATTAGCAGGGTCTAAGCTTATCCGCATTTTTTCAACGTATTGGAACGTGCATTTCAAAAAGGCTTAATTGAGATGAAAAAAGCTTCTGGGAAATAAACCACTGCAAGTTAAGAAGTAAAAATAGAAGAGCCTTTCCTAAATAATTTCATTAACTTGAAGTTTCAACGCAAATTATCACTCAAGCACTCTCATCGTGCATGCGATCAAAATTACTATAAATCGTGGACAAACTTCTCTCAATAAGAGGTGTTGCCTATCATTAGATTTTCTGTGTATCATCAAGATTACAAACCCGCACCGATACGTTATGAGGGGCATGGAGAGCAAGGCGCATATGAGTGCAGTTTTTGAAAAATATTAGTTGAGATGCTCGTGATTTCAACTAAAACGACTCTTTAAACTGTCTTCTGTGAAAAATTCACTACTAATATCCAATTTTCATGCATCAAAAAGTGAGTTTGAATTTTCTCTCCACCATGAGGCTCCATGTAACTTTATAAACTGAAACAAGTATTTTTTGATTTAGCAAAACTATATTCATGCGCCTGATGTCCTCAAAGCGCCAAGCTCCTCATATGCATACTACTTACTTTGCGAAAGATGGTTCTAAAGCACTTTGAAAGAACGATTTGATAGTCAATCAATCAATTTGCAATGTCAAGACTTTGAGGTATTTTCCGAAAATTCCCAACTGTTAATTACTTCGTAGTTAGTAAAGTATTTTTTGCATAAAAGACCGAGATATACTTTGAGATAACCTCCAAAAATACGTTCTGAGAGAAAAACGCAAATCGGAAGACAAAAAGTTTTTCATTATTCACTCTGGACCCTTTTTTGAAGTTATCTTGAAGTGTCTCTCGATCAATTATATGAACAAATATCGAACCAACCACAGGTAGATGTGATAAGCAAAGATAGTTTTTTTTTCTTTTCTTTTTTTCTTTTTTTTTCAAATTTTCTAAAATTCAGAAGTTATGGAGAAATCCATCATCATTGAATCTTCCTCAAAAAGAGAGAAAGAGGCCGGAAAGAGAGTGATGATTGTTGCTCCCTTATAACTGTCTTAAAGAAAGTGTTGAGTCCCCAAAAGTAAAACCTTCCACCTGTCATTAAGAGGCCAGTGGAGGGTCTCTTGTCTCTGGGTTTACCTCACAATGACACAAACTGAGGTATTTTGCAAAGTAAATGTGAAGTTAGTTTTTTAAAATAAATGTAATACCTATTTATCATGTAGGTGAAATTAAATGTGCAGTTAAAAATTGACATCATTAAATCCGCTATGCTCAAATTGACAAGGAAGTAATTCGTTACCGTTCGCATCCTCCTGTGAGCTGGAGACAGACAAAAAATAGAGAATGATATAATTACTATTCAGAAATTTCGTGAACTTAGTCATAAGTAAAAGAGGAGTTGCTAATTGTTTACAGTCTTATTGTGTTATATTTTATCATTTTTTAGAGTATGTGAATAAATAGCTAATCGAGTGGAAAGTGAATAAACATTGGAAAAAACCCGGTAATAACTTTTTGATAAAAACCTGTCATTGTGTTTATCTATCGATTAATAATGTTTTCGGCGCACATACTTTTTTATCGCCCGAGGGAAGCTAATTGGACGTATATCTGCCAAATGGAACTATGTGCATTAAGACATGAGCCCTGAGACCCCTAAGGAGATATGCATAACAGCAGGGCTCACATCATAATGCACATAGTGCCGTTTGGCAGAAATACGTCCAATTTTGAAACAACTTGGTTTTCATCCGCGAGCGGATCTTAGAGTTATGCATAACGCATAACACTTGAGACGCGAAGCGCTTTGGAGGGTTAGACCTTGAGGTAGTCAGGAGGCATGACCCCCTAGGAATTTTTTTTTTAAAAAAGAGAAACCTTACGTTATTATACTACGTCCGAGGGGCAGGCCAGCCACTGTGTAAGTGTATACCTCTGCATCTGTTTACATTTTCTGCAAGGTGACCACGTAGAATCGTCNGGGGGGGGGGGGGGGGGGGGCAGTTCTCGGGTCATTCGTACCTCCTCGTATCTGTCTATGTTTTTATTATGCCTATGGTCACTATTCATACACAGGGCATATTGAGGGTAATGGTGGCCTCTGAATGAACTTGCATGGGGTTCATCCCTCCCGACTGAGTAAAAATAAAGAGGAAAAGAATATTAGGCCTCTTAAAAATAGGTGTCAAAATCTCTTGCAGAGAGTGTTAAAACTGGGTCACAAGATAAGACTGACAATGAGCCATCGATTTGGCGATTTCAGTGAGGTAAGGGTTCTGATTGGCTCTGCGAATACCAATCAAAGATATCTATACCACCAAATTACCGTGTGCCGCAGGACTTTGATAACACACTCATCTCTAATAGGTGCGCGGAAACCTATTGCGCAGCGACCCCGCTAATATGATAGCCTCAATTTGATCGTATAACCCAGGCTTCATGGTTGGTACAAAACAAACCAATTTTGGCGCGCTTTGGTGGCTCTCTGCTTACAGGAGCTTTTAGCCGCATGAGATTGGGTTGTAAGGTAGACTATACATTTTGCGATAAAGGAACCACTGTATCTTGCATATCCATGAAAGCATATATCTGCATATCGGTGTTCCTAAAAGCTGATAATGGTGGTTCCTTATTGCAAAATGCAGTCTAAAAATGTACGGGCATTGCTTGTAAAACATACTTTGTGCCTCTGATGAAAACCAGGCGGCCGGGGGCCCCTATGCAGCGCCGTGATTGCATGGAAGATGTGGAGTGTGGAGGGAGGTTTGGGGGTCTCCGCAAATGTTGAAACTTTGAAGTCTTTGAGAAGCAGCTGTTTTCCCGTTTAATATTCGATATTAATTCCTCATTTTTTCTTCTTCTCCTCTTAGTTCTTTCTCTCTAAAAATATTTCATTTTATCTTTGGCGAAGGTTCCTCATTTAGTGGTGGTTTGATGCAGCCGTTGATAATTTTATTGCTCCTGTTTGCCATTTATTACATACCGATATAGCGAGGTTCTCTAGAATTTACTTACGAAGAAGCTCGAGCTTACAAAACATATTAAGGCAGATTATTGGATACGGATTTTTCCACGAACTTGAGAACGTATACTCACACGTGTCCAATGATTTCATAATTTATAATAGTTAAAAATTTGTTAATGTTTCATCCTCATTAAACAACGCGACATGTGAATTTAAACTTTGAGAACGGCTTTCATCAAAATAAACTGTTGAGAGATTGAAACAACAATATATGGACCTACAAATAGTGTACATTCTGCGTAAATACAATTGATTTTACAACCTCTTTTTTAAGAGAGGATGTCACTCCTATTTCTGGTATTCCTACTCTGGGACTCCTATATTCTCCTATACTATGGAAAAAACACTTAAGTACAGTTGACCTCGAGAATTTTTTAAAGCATCTCATATAATTAAGCAGTCTCGTGTTCTGTGACAGAACACCGCTGTGTAGTGCAGTCCTGAGTCACCGTTTCGGATAATTAGATGAGCGCCTAATCAGAGGAACGCAGAACGCAGAACGTAGCACTACTTAAGTGCGATCTAACGTTACCAGATTTTCAATTGACCGATTGTAAATCCAGAAAAAGACAAGTTTCATCAACTTGATGTTATGCTGTATCCGAGAACCGACCATTAAATGAAAATTCACAATTTGCAAAGAATTTTAGAGCAAACAGCAAGTCAATAACTTAATTGATTAAAAAGTTATCAAATTTTCAAAGTCATTATGAAATAGCGCGCACACGCGAGGCGCATACAAACAAGAGCTTTTCGCCAAATGGGAAGAGGTTTCTTCAACGCCTCATCAGTTTCCCTTCATTTATGAGTGTAGGCAACACAAGCTCCCACGTGGTCGAAGAGTTACCTTGTGAATTGACGAATGACGTCGTCGCTAACAGCGTCTATAGGTAAAGTCCTGCCTAGATTACACGAGTCGAGCATTATCAACGCTCTGCTTGTTGCAGCAGCTCAAATTGAAGGCAGTTTTATATGTGTGCTGAACTGCTAGTTTGTACGTTGCGAGTCATTCATATGCTGCACTTCATTAACTTCAAAGAGGAATTTCTCACTAGACTTCGAGGACTGGGTCCCAGATTTTCTTAACCGCAAAAGGCTGTGCCGGAAAAAAGTTTTATCCTAGAAAACGTAATTCCGCTAAGCGGTCAATATCGGAGAGGTTATGCTTGAAAAATACTAAAATCGATAAAAAAATGTGAAAAATGAATCCTGGTTGGAGAGTGTACGTACATGGGGACGGAACGATTCCTCAAGACCATTTGCTGTGTTTAAAATCACAGCAGGCTACGAACTCAAACCATTTTTCCGTGATATGAGACGCATGGTGATGTTTTTTTGAACGATGTAGAAGTCATACTATAACGGAGTCGATTTATTTTAAATTTGTTTACTCTTTTGTTCAAATTGACTACGTAGAATTAATTTGGAGTACTCGGAACTTTGAACGCTACAGAGTCTCCTGTTTCAAAACTATCGCAGGCACCGAACTGTGTAATCCAAAACTATATGAGTGAATTTCCAAGAAATCCAATCGCAGTGCTCAATAAAGGCTCAGGGTCCGAGGATAGAGGGAACTGTGAAAAGCTCAACTTTTATTGGGCTTTTCGTGTCGATACAATGTACATATTTAGTGATCTACGTTTTTGTTTGATGAAGTGTCTCTTACCCTCATTTTTTTTGCTCGGTCCAATGAATGCAAAAGAATTCGAAGAATTCAAAGGCAAATTCGCTCGCGCTCTTGAACTGAACATTTTCTGGAATTCCACTCGATTATTTATCATTCACAGAAAATATTTATACCGGTGAGAATAAAAAATTGTGAATTCTCATTTGAAGGGAGGATGCCAAGATAGAGTTTTAATGGAGCGCTCTTCTGAAATAGAAATTTTGGATGACACCTCACCTAAAACTATCCACATAACTATGGAATTCCCGCCCACAGCGACGACCAACATCAACACAAAAAGCACTGACCAGAGTAATTTCAACCAGAATGCCATGTCTTCTTTTGCTTTAGTGTTTGTTAGGCTTTTTGTGATGTTAGGTGGTATCGAGTATTCCTGAAACAAAAAATTACAAATGGTATCTTTAAGTGTGACTCCTCATACTACACTACTAAATGTATTTAAACACACGGGTGTGTTTATTTCAGTTCCTTACCCGAAGAAATATAATCTTAGTTTGCCCAATATCCGTGGGTAAATAGAACACAACATTGTGCTCACTATACACGCAGACAAAGCAATTTTCTATTAAGCTCAACGTGATTTGCCTGCCGAGATGGAAAATTTCAGAAAAAAAATATGAATTTGAAAGTTCACAATGCAATTTCACGAGACATTTCATCCAATTTTCCCGTGAAATTTTAGTACATTAAAAATAGTGCCCCCTTCGGCACTGAAAGAAAATATTCTGTGTTAAAACAGAAACTTACGGCTGACTCAACCGTACCTCTGGCTGGTGCAACTACTCTTATATACTAGCGCTAAAATCAGCCAGGAGTATAGTTGGGATTGTGACACTTTTTTCTCCATGGGGGCCATCCTTGCTGAATTTCTTCAATTATACGATTATTTGCTCATTGCAGGTAGATATTTTACGGAAAGCATCATAGTTTTGTTTTTTCTGTCTCCTTTTGGGTCTAACACTGGTCTAAGACGGGTCTGAAATGATTGCCGATTCCGGCAAAAAATGCGGATTTTTCGGCATTCGACCGCAAACCCGGAAAACCCGCATTTCTCGCCGAAGTCGGCCTTCAGACCCGTCTTAGACCGGTGTTAACCCCGGAAGGCGATAAAAAATTACCAAATAATGACTTATTATGTCAAATAGTATGGACCTTTTATGAGAAAAAAATCATATGGTTGAAGAAATCCAGTGTGGGCCCAAAAACGGCTCTTATTGATACTTCTCTTTTCAGGCTATTAATCATGAAATTTCGTTGATAATCCACGTGCAGCTATTGAGCAATTTCAGGCATTTGAGTAAGATTTTCCAAGCAGTAGGCTGATTTATTGAAATTTACAGACAAAGCGATAGACAAAGAAGACGATGGAGCGATTCTATTGGTTGAAATGGGTGGTGCCCACAGACTGAGGGAGAAAATGATGGACGAACTAAAGGAAAAGGGTCTATCGTGGGTTGCCGTTACTTAGTCTATTATCTATCTCCTTTATCCATTGCAGCCACCCGCTTCCACCAATAGGATCCCTCAATATCCCTTTTGTCATCTTTGTCTATAGTTTGCCTATAAACCTAACCTAACCTAACCTAACCTAACCTAACCTAACATGACAATCATATATCAGTCTCCAAATACCTGACAGAACTCCGAAGAGATTCGAGGGAAGTACGCGTTCCCTAAGTGAAGACGGGACGGAGGTATCGTATTTTAACGACGGCTTCGCACGTCAGGAAACTTGCGTCTCGGCTCGCCGTCGTCACGAGATTGCACCTGAAGGCGAATATTCATTTTAGCGAGGGTTTAATTTAATGGTCCTCGGTGTATTAATTTACGCCGGCTAAACTCCGATTCGTTAGCTAATTCGTTGTTTAATTTTGTGAAAGACGAAAAGTTGCGGTGCATCCGCCGAGCGGAAAGAGTTTTGGTCCTCCGACTGCAAGCAGCACCTCCCCTTGTCATTCAACCCTTCTTTAAGCGCCAACCCTCCCCCCGTTATTCGGCGAGCCGCCACAACAACTTCAGTTGGCTCAGGGCTGTTTAACTTGCAGAGGAAACATATTTAAGCATCTCTATCCTCGACGATGAGAATAATTTGAACGCATTTCTGCCAAATGGAACTATGTGCATTATGAGGTGAGCCGTGTTATGCATATATCCTTATGGATCTGAGAGCTCATGTCTTAATTCACATAGTTCCTTTTAGCATAAACACGTCCATTTCATGTTTAATTACTCGTCAGAAAGTTTTAACTAATTGAACGAGCTTGCGATGCGATGAGCGGCGGCGCCCCCAGCCGAGTGGCGAAGCGATGCGATGCTTCCACGCGCACATGTTTCAGCTTTTTTTTTTCTTTCTTCATTAATCTCCGGGACCCTTGCAAATAAAACGCTTGAGAGGATTTGTCAATGGCCGGAATAATGTAATGCGGGTTTCTTGTACACAGATTGGGTGGTTCATACGCCTTGAAGCCGGTGACCATCTCCACTACCCCATAAGGCAGGGGTTACCAGCTGGGGTCCGCAGGATTGCTAAACCGTGAAATCAGTCCCCCATACGGATAAACACTTTATCGTCATTGGCTATAAAAGGCTAAAAGAAATTGTGTAGAAATTCCTGTGATTTGGAAATCATTACTTAAGTTTGATACGGAACTACCTTAATATTTACAAAACACACATTATATTTTCCTTTAAAACATATTTTTTTTTTCATCAATTAAAATGAGAATAGTCCATACAGAGTGTGCAAACATTTTAAAATCATGAGTTGAATAACGCTGACTCCGCAAGATTGAATATTAGAGCCTAACACAAAGCGGAGCGGCGACGCACTGACGCCTACAAACCTAACAGGGATACTTCACGCATTGCGCAATGCGTGAAGTATCCCTGTTAGGTTTGTAGGCGCCAATCGCGTTTCGTGCTCTCTGCCCGCCCGCCGCGCCGCAGCGTGCCACGGCGGCTGAAGCAACTATTTCACACCAGAGGTATTGCACAGTATCATAAGAAATTGAAGGCGCTTCAACATATTAAGAATGACAGTACTACTGTGATTCCTTCAAAAGTACGGAGCTTTCCAAGCAAAATAAATCAACGTACTATGGCACAAAAAGAGAGCGGTAGTCCAAAAACTAACTAAGTCCTAGTATCCGTAATTAGTAACGTTTAGCATAAACTTTATCGTCTGGCTGTTGCTTAATCGCCATCGGCTATAAAAGGCTATAATACATTGTACAGCCGGCTACAGAAGCTATTGGAAATCTTACAGCCGGCTTTAGGTCTCTAGTATTTTGGAACACACATTCTACTGTCAATTTTTACCAGGGAAGTTTCCTGTTAAACTAAGAAAGCTTGGCAAATCAAAGGAATCCAAGGACTAGAAAGTGAAGGAATAAAAATGCATTTGAACAATACTGCCGTGCTAAGGAAAAACGCCGTATGAGCCTTCAAGCGTTGCCAAATTTCCCCTGGCAAAGTACTAATTTTCAGGAATTTTTTTAATTATTGGTCTACCGATTTCTCAGATAATTTTGTTTATAATCTATCTATACTAATAAAGCAGACTTCAAGTTGATTGACTCGAAAATTTCAAAGAAAAATATTCATACTTTTCCTCAAAAATAAACATTTAATTGAAAGAAATTTGGCAACTCTCGAATGTTCATACGGCGTTCTTCCTTAGCACGGCAGACTACTATCGGTCAAAATTATCGAGAAATGAGAGTCCCTCGAGTCGATCAGCAGCAGGCGTTTAGGGACTGATCATTCTATCCAGCAGATAAAGATTCTTTCATTAGTCAAAATTTTGGAGATGACCTTTTCAAAATGTTTGATTCAAATGATCAGTAAAAATTAGGAGGCAAAGTTCCAAAAGGATTGTGAAATATCAAAAAAAAGAGGAAAAAAGTGGTAGTGCGGTGCGGTGATTTCATTTGCCCAAATGCCTCGGTATTTAGGAAAGAAGAACCAAAGAGATCCAGACCTTTATGCAAAACTACCTCATTACAATTTACACTTCGATACATGGGAAAAATAAAGCACTACAATCCTGTCGAGACGAGATTATCGCCGTCGTAGTTTCGGTTGACTTCAAAACACGTTTAAATTCAAACAGACTCGAGCACCAATGTTGTTCGGGATTCGCTCCCTCCTGAGACGATCGCTGCGTCGAATAACTAAGTCATCGAATGAGCCAATAGGTGTTTACTCCAATTTGCTTGCTTCTACGTTCAAAGGAAACGTCGAGTGCTTTCCTTGCAGGAGATGGAACGACATGACATAAAGCCTCGCAATTTGCAGGGACCCACTCAGGAGATCCCTTGAGTTCTGGAGGGGAGGGGGGGGCGGTCGAAGGCGGAGAGGGAAAAAAGGAGCAAGTAAAAGTGACGTCACTAGATCATAAGGAGAATAGGAGTGGATTTTAGACTTTTCCTATGTGATCAACGTTATTTTTCAGTCATTTTAACTTATGAATCTGGCGACAAATTTTCACGGAACTGACGAGTGGATCTGCAGAAACAGATTCTACTCGGCCTTAATCTCTGAAAATTTGAAAGCCGGAGCATGGATGTGCCAAAATCCCCCTGATGTCTACTGACACTAAAAAATAATTCCTGTTAAAAATCTTGTCTGTAGATTCCGAAACTGGAATAAAAGCCAGATAAATTAAAAAAAAAAAAAAAAAAAAAAAAAAAAAAAAAAAAAAAAAAAATACTTATGTATCCAAGTGTGATACACTTGAAGTGAGGGTTAGCTACAACCCCACACCACAGCCACAGAAAAAAGAGGGGGTGTACTCTTGAAATGACGTAATTTTTAGCGCGGAGGTCTGGATGTGAGGGACATCAGGTGACCGAGGGGGAGGGAGGGGTCAAGAAGTCGGGAAAAATGGGTGACGTAATTTATGGACGGCCCCTTAGGGACGTTGGACTCTACCTGTCAGACTTCATTTTTTAGATGGTAAAATACTCTAACTTCCCAGAAACGCCGCTGATTCGTCTTCTCTTTGTGAAGATTATTCGGTGAAAATGTCCAGCGATAACGTTAGTTTGTTACACTTTGATAATATTAAATGGGAGCGGAGATGTTGAAACGCTGCAAACGAGACACGCGGTCAAACAGTTTCACAGTGGAAACGTAGATCTGAGGACCGGAATTGAGTTCATGAGAAGAGATCGGTCGGGCGAACTCATGTGTCTATTCAAGGCAAAATCGAATTATAATTTAATCACTAACATGCATTTATTTGACAGCTCTGCCAGCTGTAATTTCACTATTTTCAGAGAATTATTAGCAGCGTGCATGTTCATTATTTCCAGCTCCACGGACACTTCCTCATATTGAGCTTCCTAAGGTTGAACATAGTAGATTTCATCC